GGCTTAGGAAGCTCTGTGTAGGGTTAGGTAGAATAGGCCGAACGCAAACCAAGGAACTTTTCGATCGCTGAGCGCTACGAGCCCGTGCGAAAACATCACGCCTTTTGGTAGCGTCACTTGTGGATGAGGGATTCTTCAGTGACGCCATTGATGTTATGCTCCCAATGTTTTCAACATGGGGGAGGAGGGCGAGTAGGTGGCGGGGGATATTGGTGTAGTGGCAATTGGCTTATCACGCATACAGTCCAAGGGTCAAGTCCTAGAACGAATCCTGTGCGTGCAAACGAGATTTTCATCCAGCGTGCATTCCTGCGAACGTGGAAAAGTCTCCCTCAATACAACCCCCACCCCATATCTTCTTCTTCAATGCGCCATAAACACCTTGAAAATCCTCATCGAGGGAGTGGAGGTACATGCACAGCGCGTATGAACCGGAAAAGTATGCAGTCAAAACATGCCCATTAAGCCGAGTACGATTCCCTGCTTCAGCAACCAAATACGGCCCCCGTAGGCTGCACTCATCTTTTGTGACAGCGTCCACCAGCGGCCACCAATGTTTCGGGCTTCCGGTCGGCGACTAGGAAAGTATAGATATCGATTTAGCGCCTACAAGCGTCTACCAGCGATTATCAGCGTCCACAAGCGCAGCAGCATGTCGAGGGCTAGGGAAGTATAGGTATCAATCAAACGATTGGCAGCGTCTACCAGCGATCAGCAGCCGCCGGAAGTGGAGTATGGAGCGATAGTAGAGTAGCAGACTGCTGGTAGAGAGTATGGGGCAATAGGAGGGTACTATCTGTCTGCTATTCTCCTGTCGCACCAGACTCCCCCTTTTCCGGACGCTGATGGATTCGCAAGATCGATACCTATACTTATACAGCCCTCGAGACGCTGCTGGTCGCTGGTGGACGCTGCCACAAAGTACGAACTCAGCATTATAAGGATCAGAACTTCCGTGATGATGGAGCGCCTTGCTTCCACCCTCCGAGGTTGCTCAATCAGAAGAACATTCGTCAGGAGGGATACAGCTGACTAGAACTGGTTGAAATTTTGTGCCTGCGGTGCGGGAGCCAGCCGTAGATCGACTGATTGCCATAGGTTCATGTGTAAACCAAATTGCATGTAAAGGCTACTTCTGGTCTGAACAAGACTAGAATGAGCGGCGCATTTCCAAAAGAAATTGCTCATTTCGTAGCGCAGTAGGATCTTTTATAAACGAATTGTTGGCACTGGTCAGAAAAGGCAGTAGAAGTAAAGAATAAAGAAAGAAAGAGTATCAGTGAAAGGAACGCTTAAATTTGACTGCATTTTTTTCGTGACAAAAAACGATCGGATTCATGCACAGATCTGATGGATCAAGAGAGACGTAAATACGGTTGGTGTAAATCAGCTATATCTACGCTACATTTATCGAAAAAGTTAGCAGCAGTGGGGGAACGCTGGTGTGTCCTCTATCGAACAATCGTTTTTGTGAACCAATTAAATGCCGAACATGATGAATGCGTATGAGTTTTCGTGCAATATATCGGATCGATTGATTTCCCTCAGGATATTACTGTACCGTACTCGCTCACTGGATGAGTGTCACCATTGTATGAGCCTTATCTCCTTCATAGCATTTGTGGCGCCAATCGTAAGAAAAACACTACTTCACCTCTATGGATCCTGGTCCTTGCCATAGTGAGGTGAATGGGTCCTAAGCTACAGTAGCGTGCCACTTTCTTGAGTCTTAAATGTACGGGAATGGAGCTGGAGGGTAGCGAGAACCAGACGTCGGCTCTATACTCCGCCCGCGCTGCCACACAGACAGCAACTCGCATAACCATGGCAAAAGCACGCTGAGAGATCAAGTTGTTTGAAGACAAATGGCCGCTCACTTGAGGGTTAGCGCGGAGTGTGGAGCGTGCCCGGTATCATAGCCGTTTTCCGTTTGAGCGGAGAAGGTTGGCACGCTGCTGTAGAACATTTGTTCGGTCATATGAGAGGGGTCCGTCCGCCAACTTACATTGGAACTTTGAATGGTGACCTGGTTAGATCGACAGAGTCTATAAGGTTATTTACAAATATAAATGGCAAAACTGCAACCTGCAATTTCACAAGCAACTTATGAGCAGGTGAGTTGTAGTGGTGCAGTAGGGTGAGGCGTGGGTTGGTGAAGCATAAGCTAGAAATGCATACGTCTATACGAGTCGTGGGTGGATTCATGGTAAGGTTCGTCGTTTCGACGGTTCGATCCGGCTGTCAGCCGAGGTGCGTTTCCTCATTTTATGTTCACAGTCACCACGAGCTCCCACTACTGCACATTAATAAGCTTTACCTGTCAGGTTTGCTTTGTGAAAGCAGCGTTGCAGTTTCTGCTATATTTTTCTAATGTAGACCTCACAGACTCTATCGATGTCATACCCGGGTCCCATTCAAAGTTCCATGGTAGTTGGCGACTTCTCTCGAGTGACCAACTTTAATCTTTTATGCGTACGCGGTCGTAGTATTAAGGGTTTGTATGTATGGTTTTCAGCAGAGACTTCGATGAAGACTTTTTCGACCTCCGCATATCACCCTCTCCTATACGAACTTTCTAGCGACCAATACGATCCCGATTTGCGTCCCACAACCACCATCTACACTGCTATTGATTAGGGTCCTATAACCTTGCGATTCCAGCCTCTGATCTGCTTTTTCCGGGTTTTCGTGAACTCGAGCCCAAAATTCTCTTCTGTTTGGTATGATTTCAGTAATGCTTTCGTTTAGATGAAGCTCAATGAACGCCATGAAGACGGCCCACGATGAGTTGCTGGGAAAATGTGCTGGCTTAGAAATGAAGATACTGGAGATGGAGAAGAGCGAGCTGGAAGAGAAGCAACTGTAAGTTTTTATGCTGTCGTCGTCTATTAGGGTGAGAGACGAAGCGCTTATGAAGTTTCCACGGGGACGTACGAACATTTGCCATTCGAAACGATAGGGTTCTTTCTGGATGGTTAGTTTCCTAAATTGAATTTTCGGCCCTCCTTATTTACCTTTTCTGCAGCCATCTTAGGGGAATGTTCAAGTTAAAATTTTGATGATTGAATCTTTTCTTTCTTCCATCTATCGTCGTATAGCCTTCGTTACAATTTTGTACTGGGTCTGTCCTGAAAGTGAGTGTTGCATGTGTTTTGGAAATGCTGGACGTCCCGTATGCATGCACAAACACCTGACAGACAGGGCGTCGAGACTGTCTCTCTTAGAGGAATGGTTAGAACTTTAACACGAGTCGAGTTTTACATTGCTCTACACAAAGACGCACGGTGTGGCCGTTGCGCCAGAGCTGCCTCTTGCCCTGGTGTAGTAAAGCAAAGCAATAATGGTACTCAAGTTTTTCTCATGTTCTTTTACTTCTAGTCCATTCTTTTTCAGATTCATCAACAAGGCGAGTGAACTTCAAAATGCCGAGCAAGGAATGAAGCGACTAGAAGAGGAAATGTTGACGTGAGGAGTTGGCTAGCTTCTAATACTTGAAATTTCAGCCTGCTTTCCGAAAGGAAAGTGTGAAACAAGAATGTTCCGATGGTTTCTGGTGATTGTGGGGTGATTTTTACTCAGGGAGCGCCCGAAAGTTGTTTGGCAGCGTTCAGACTTCGCGACGGCAGCGCTTCGGTCGCGAAGTCAGAACGCTGCCTTAGCTCACCTGGAACGGGAGCTCTGAATTGTTCAATCCACATAAAAGGGTCCCAAAACAAGAGATGGTTATTGATTCTAAACTCACTGCGACTAAGAAATGAGGTTTCATGCTGGAAAGGTAAGAGTAATCGTGATCCTTGCGCTGTCCTCAGATTAGTTACTGAAGCCAGCCAACCTTTCATCACTCTAACCAAGCCGTTGGGCACCAGATTCGCTCATAGGATAAGAGTACTTGACCACTGGGGAGGGGCGGGTGAAGGGGGGAGGTCTTACTTAATTGTTTAGACGACCTGATGCTCTTTGCTTGCACGATGGGACTGGACTTGAGGTGCCACCTGAGGAATGGATCATCCTTAGGACTTATGGTTAGCTCCACTTTTCAGTTCTTACCTGAAAGCCATATTCCGCGACAATTGGCCTTGCGGAAGCTCCATTATGCCCTCACATGGTTATACGTCCCCCACTGAGGCGTTCCTTCGCTCTACTGTGTTTGATTGAATCAAATCGCACCAAACTAGGACGAAATAGTTGAGTGTCCGCCCTTCCGAGTATCGCAGAATGTGTCATAAGAAAACTGGAAAGCTTACTTTTCCCTTCCTCCCCCCCCCCCCTCCAAACCTATTCGATGACTAGCGAAATTGAACGATAAGGATTGGGAACGTGCACGCTCTTGTTCGAGATGGTGTTAACGGTATAAAAGTGGGGTATCAAGTATTAGAGGGCTGTTAGGTCCACGTTGCTACGAGTAAGGCGATAGAGGCGTTACAAGTGGACATCACGTGCGCGGCATTCGCACCAAAACCTTATGGTTCCATCGTGGTAGATTGCACTTTGTTATGTCAACTAACTAAAGATTAGTTTTCTAGATTATAGCGTTTCACATATGTCAAAAAATGCTTATTACTTCGCTTCGTATCAACTGAATTTTTTTTGATTTTTTCCACTAACAACTCGCTCACCAGGTTTGTATGAAAACGAAAACTTTCTAACAAATTCTGATTCAGATTGGTTGAAAAGCTGAACGCCGTCACAAAAGATCATAAAACAGCAATTGAAAGTAAAGCTCAAGTCGAAGAGGAGTTACGTAAACAGTCAAGCGCTCTCAGTACTCTTCAGAATACTGTAGGTTTCCTTGGAATCCAGTAACCTAGGGGTTTCCAATAGGATTTTGATGGCTACGATTCCAGGTGAATGCATCAAATATGGATCAAAGCGCCATGGCGAAGGAATTGGCGAGCACAACGACTTTGTGTGCTGAACGATTGGCCGAGAACAATAAACTTCAAGAAACTATTAAAAGGTATTTGACATTTCTAGTCGGGTTTTCCAACTGACCATGAGTTATGGGGGAAGAAGGGGGCACGCGGTTGGACCGTAGGATAAAGTGTAGCGTACAATCACAGCCTGCATACAATCCTGTTCCCTGGGTTTGGCGGCTGCGTTTGACGCGGCGCCAGCTCAATCTTCACCAATAATGGAACCTGGCATGCAGCCGCAACTGTTGGAAAGCGGGTTGGCGTTGCGCCAAAGCTAGCCCCCTA